ACTAGTCTGTCGAACACTTCTGTTAAAATTTGTAAATGTTCGTCAGCAGATTTCGTGGCGATCATTATATCATCTAAATATATCGCTATTTTTCCTGATCTGATCAAATCGTCAAAAACTTGGTTCACAAAACGTTGGAAAACCGAAGGTGCATTTCTTAACCCGAAAGGCATTTTTAAAAATTCAAACTGTCCTAATGGAGTTACGAAAGCAGTATATTTAATAGAATCCTCACTCATGTGCACGTGATAAAAAGCACTCTTTAAATCTAACAATGAAAATAAAGTTTTACCCGCCAGTCGATCAAGTAAATCGTCGATTAATGGTAGTGGATAGTTATCTTTCAATGTGACTTTGTTCAAAGTTCTGAAATCTACGCATAATCGGGTATCACCTGTTTTCTTTTTAATCAGAACAATAGGAGATGCATACTCTGAATTACTAGGCCTCACAACTTTTTTTCTCATTAACTCGTCAATAATTGACTCTACTTGTTGCTTTTCGTGATATGATAGCCTACGTGGATGGTATTGGAAGGGTTTATCATCATTTAAAATTAATTTCATTTCGCACTTTATCTCAGGTTCATCTGGACGTTTGCGGTTTACATAATCTTCATACAACATATTAAATTTCTTTCTAGTATTGTAGTCAACATCACTATTATTAACACTAATCTCATGAATTGGTTCATGGTATTCAATATTCATTAAATCGTTAATAGTATTTTCATCACAATCTTTATTCTTTTGATTAAAATTAATTAACTGTTCAGTTGGATCATGTTGTATTACTAATTTTAATTTAGCTTTCTTTAAAAAATCTCTTCCTAATAGAACTGGGTAACTCATAGTTTCATTAGCTACTATGAATAATTTAAGATTTATTTTTTTATTATCATATAAAACTGTGCATACTATTTGTCCAAGTATTTGTAAATGACTTTTGTTTATACCACAAAAATTTAAAATTTTACATTTTTCTTGATTTATTAACTTAACAAGTGGCACGAACTGTTGGCGTATAAAACTGATTGGACTACCAGTGTCAATTAATGATTCTAAATAAAGTGACTGATCAATATTTGAATAATTAAAACTAAATTTTATATTTCTTACGTATTCGTTATCACCCTCAACAGCGTCGGCATAATGAACTTGCGTTTTCCTCATTAAGCAGTCAGCTGCTCGATGTCCCATTTGCGCACAAACGTAACACGCCCTCGGCTCCCGCTTTGGTTTGCGGCATTCAGCTGCAACATGCCCAAGAGAGTTGCAATTATAGCAACGAGTCGATGCAGAAACCACAAAATCGGCTGAGGTTGATTTTTCATTCGAAGTGTTCTGGCGAACAGTCAATGATTGTTTTGGTGTTGCTGGTTTTGGAAGACTTATTTTGTGGAACGCTTCCAACAGTTGGTACTTGTCACGGAAACATTGTAATTTAGCTTGTGAACATAAACCATAGTCTGGAATCCCCTCCACAATGTACTCCAGCAGCTCAGTTTCTTCAATGCACAACTTACCCGCGAGAATGGTCTTATCGTAAAAATATTCTTCAAAAGTCTCATTTGTTTGCCACCTTCTGGCTTCAAATATACGTTTCAGCTGCAGTTTAGTTGAGCGGTCTTCAAACAGTTTCCCCATATCGTTTATTAGGGTTTCAATTGGTACAGTCATTAAATCGTTTCTTGTATGTAGCCACTTTAACGCCTTTCCATTGAGTTTGTTAGAAATCAGTGCTCTAGTATTATTATCATCCAGATTATAAGCCGTTCGGATACTTTGTAATTGTGCTTCCCAAAGCTGAAAATTATCACCAGTTCCAGAAAATTCGGACAGCAATTCTTTTATAGTTGAAAAATTAACTTTATTATTTAACGCATAATCTTTTTTTTCATTCTGTTGGCTTTCTTTTTTTAATGTTTTATTTTCTCTCATTAAAATTTCTTTTTCTCGTCTTACTATGTTTAGCTCTCGTCTTAACAGTTTGAGCTCCCATTTCAAGAGTTCATTTTCGTTCTCCTTTAACGAATTGACTTGTGCAGCAGAGACACTGTTATTATTTTCTTCTCGCTCAATATTTGTGTTCATAATACTCATTCGACTCATATTCGCTGTCATTTGTTCTGTTATCATTTGTTTCTGACTTACAATTTCACTCATTTGATTCTTCTTTTTATGTGTTTGTATAATTTGTTGTTCCTCAAGAATATGATTGTCATCTTCTTCAGAGTTACTATTGTTGTTGCTTGCGCATGCATCGGCGTCGGCGCCAACATGTTCCGTAAGCGTCACATCATTTAATATTTTAGTCGTTTTTCCTAGAAAAACACCACGGCGTTCCTCAGGTATTTGAATTAATCGGCGAATTAATTCGTTTTTATTACCACTTGTTTTACATCCAAGCTCCTCCAACCAAGCTTTTAATTCAACTGAAGTATAAAGCTGAAGTTTTTTGATGTCAGACATTTTATTAATGTTGAGTAATCCCACTTCTGATATTTTAAGCAATAGTTTTTCCTTTATTTTTAACACGTTTCAATTTCTTACTCTTCTCGTACAATGCTTAACTATAACTAACTCGTTTCATACTGTATGTCAAAAACTATCTGTCACTTTTAATTTAGCGTTGCCACACTAATAAAATTTTACGACTTTCTAGTGAGGCAAAAAATTTTCCATTAAGTTAAGTTAATTCGTTAATAAAATTCTTTTATTTGATATGAAAAAAAATTAATAACAAATATACTAATCCACACTCTTGACATATAAAAACAGTAAAAATTTTTATTTAAATTATTTTATAAAACTTTATTTTATCACAGTTTCACACAAAGCTTAATTTACAATTCAAAAGACTTTGTTATCATTTAAAGTCATTTAACGAATCACTGCAGATCCTATCATGCACTCACTTGCAAATTTTTAATGCGCTTTATTGCATTTTATTACACTTGCAATAAGAAACTTAATGAATCTGGATTAAGATACAAATTATATTTCAAGGCATATAACCGACAAATTTTCTTTGAAAGAATAAAAAAAGGTATTAAAATATAACTGCTTTACCGTATGCCAGAGACAACTGCGAACCGCACGACCGCACAACAAAAATGTAACTGATAAGCTAAGGCGGAACGATCATAATGGATCGCTTGGCATCGCAGATATCTGAATTACTCTTACCAGTCATAATCTAACGAGCATGTGTGAAAACTCATTAGGTAAATTACTCCCACTGGGAATATTTCACATAGCGCTGCTGCACGGAATACTAGATGTTAGCCGACACTGAGATAAAATCGACAAAACGCTGAGAGTTACTTTACTCAGCACAGCTAAATTAAGTTTGATTTCAATTAGGCGGTGGCTGTATGGGCCGCTGTACTGAAAGTGAAGATCATTATCAGCTTGATTAGCGCGTTCTAGGCTTTTTTTCATTTACAACTTTTATACTCGTATGTTTGCTCTTTGAAATATAATATTTTTTTTTATGATAATTTTCGCATCTGCAGCGGGAACCGTGCATGTATCTGTTGACAGCAATTTATCTTATTTTGCTTTATTACGAGTATTTACAGCGTTTACCGCCGTCTGCTGTGAATGACATTACTTACGAATACAGAAGCCGTGTTGTCATCAACATTATCTCTACACCGGCACGTCACTGCCAGCGGCACGTTCAATTGTATAATTACGTCACTTTGAATAAATTTATTAATTTAATTTTGTTTTCACTTTTATTATTATTATTTATTTCTCCCGAGAACAATCTGTTGATGATGTTTTGTTGATGTTTTATTCCATTATGAGATACGATGCACTTGCATTTGGGTATTGTAAATTAAGATTTTCTTATCGCAGTTTCAATGTCATGGAAAAGGGTGAGAAACAAAATAAATTGTTGAGATATTTAAATTTAAATAACTTAAGCTTTTATAGTGTGAATTAAGATATTAGTATTATGAATTGAAAATAATGTTAACACCTGACACTTTTACTTAATGTGAGATTTTTCTCTTTCATGATCTACATATGACTTTTAGCTTTAGTTAAGAATAATCTAGGTAAAATTTTTGTATTAACACCTGAGATATGCAGTTAATGTAAAACTAATATTTTTCATGATCTATGCTTTTTGTTATAAAATAAGAATAATCTGATTAGAATTTTTGTAATAACACCATATCAGTTAATGTAAGATAAATAAACTATACTATTTCATGTCCAGACATATAAAGTGGAAGAATGGGTAACAACATATAAATAATATTATTAGTCAATTTATTGTTTAATAAATTGCTTAATGGCTTCCTAGTAAAGGGTGAGAAACAAAATAATAAAGAATGACGTTAAATTCTCCAATAGTTCACGAACTGACATAATGAATATAGAGGATGATACAAGAACTCTGTAAAGAAAAATTAGAATTGGCAATTTTTAAGTAATTAAATAAAAAATATTTTTAAAGAAGAATAAAAAAAAGTTGGATGTGATTTTTGTTATCAATTGACCAGAAATAATTTTGATTACGTATTTCTTAAAGACATCTTAACAAAACTAATAAATTCTAAATTTTTTTGAATTTATTTATCGACCTGTTTTTTTATAATGGTTTTTATATATTTTTATAATCTGGCTATAGGTCAGTTTTTGTTAAATAATTCAATGTTTCTTTAATATTTATTATTATATTATATATTTCGACTCTCCTTGAGCAAGTAAAATTATTAATAGAAACTTTCATAGCAAAAGTAACAAAACTCCAGAAAAATATGCGAACATAAAAAGTCAAGAGTACGGTTTTGGATCAGTTGGTTAAGGTGCGCCGATTCTGAGCTTCAGATTTGGCAGGACACGAGTTCCTGGTACTTGCAGTCTCAAAAATAATTATTTACGAATAATTAAATACCAAGACCACTGATTAGTATTTGGGTATTTGGCAATACTCGAAACAGCTGTATGGTCAGCCAAAAATTCAATTAATTAAAATAATATAATAATGAATTTTTGTTGTTGTAGTCACTAATTTTCGAAAAAAATCTCTTTATAAAAACTTTTACAAAATATATAATTTTTTTATAAAATAGTTTTTTGAGACTGCAAGTACCAGGAACCAAACTCAGATTTGAAGCTCAGAGTCAGCGCACCTTGACCAACTGACCTAAAGCCGTACTTAATTAATTATGTTAAACTTTATGAAGGCATAAAAAATAAATAAATAAAGATGTTAAAGAACAACAAATTAAAAATAAAAAATATAAATAAAAAAAAACCAAAAAAATGGATTTTTAATAATCCAAAGTTATGTATTTTGTAGTTCTTAAAATAAACTCTGAAGTTTTGCGATACATATATCACTGAAACAGTGTTCCAAAATCAAGACCAAGAAAGAGAGAATCCTATATATTCCATACATATTAAGCTCACTGTAACTGTTATTTATATCCATGAAACCCTTAATATTTTTTTTCCAATAATTAAGTAATTCATAACGCCTTACTACATATGAAATGTTATAATAAATTCAGTTTATAGTAGTAGAACTCCACGTTTAACATTTGGAAATATTCTGCATTAAAATTAGCTCATATAGGGAAATGGTCAAATAAGTAAAGTGCCAGTTAACAGGAAGAAAAATGTCAAAAGATAATTAGTCAATTTAAAGTAATTCAAAAGATAAACTACGGGACATGGTTCCTTGTCTGAAGACAAGGAACACAGGAAATAGAAGAATCTATTCTCTCCAGATTTAAAATGGAGTAGATGATATTGTTATGTGCTATCAGATCTGTACTGACGATTAGGCAAGTTATGAAGAATACTTTTTCTCAAGAATACTTATGGTAACTTGTTTCTTCGCAGACCGGTTCTGAGCTCTATATGCCTGAAACAATAATATGTGAATTGAAGCTGGTTTTGTGGAAGCAACAAATCTTAGATAAGCTAATGAGGTAGTTAAATGTGATAAAATATAATTTAAGTGTAATACTATAACGTCATTAGATAAGATTGTGTAAAAAAATATAGATCACAAAATATATTTTAAAGAAAAACAGTTATGTTTTAAATTTTATATATTTTAATTGAAACTAATATTAACTAGAATGCAGTAAGTGCCTGACTGCAATCTTTTAATATTTTTTCATGATATTTTTTCTGTCTGGTTTTCTTCTACTGTAAATCAAATCGCATTGCCAATTACTACAAATGTAGCTGTCAATTTATTTATTGCATCTACATACGAGTATCTGTTCACTATTGTATCTTTTACTTTTTATAACTTCAGTACTTGTTTCGTGTATTGTTTTGCTTCTTACACTAAATGAATTAATTTATGGCCATGTTGAACTTTTACTGTCAACCACGATATTGGATTTATTTTGTAATTACACAAATCCTGATTCATAAATCCTTGCTGATGCCTCGATGACAACATCGCCTTGTTATTGTGTCCATTATTACTGTTGTTGTGGTTAAATAAAATTTGTTGCAGTCAAAAGTTGAATCTGCAATAAATGAAATAAATTTTTTGTTTTATGAACAATACATAAAAAAAATTTTCCAATCGAACTTATTATATATATTTAATTATTTAATTATTTTCACAAAACTGTAATAGTATTTTTTTTACTTTAATTTTATTTATGACATCATTTTCGCATATGGAAATAAATTTTAACGTACGAGTAAATAAAGAAAAATAATATTTCTTTAAAAAAATGTATTTTTTTTGGTTTAATATTTAATTGTTTCAATTTAATTTATTATATTTAACTTACTGTAAATATAAAATTACATCTGTTAACAGACGATTTCCTAGAAAAAAGCATGGGGCAAAAAAATTGAAAACAATTTATGGAGTTTATAAAAAATGTTGAGGTTGGTATGACTTCAGAGTAATATATTATTTTGCTTTATATGGAGTGGATTTACTACAAGTCGTATCTATCTGATCTTATCTATGCGGATTTGTATGTGTATAGTTCATTTCGGTATTGTAATTTTTAATTTCAGTATTAAAGAGTTACTAGGCTATACTGGATTAAGTTGGAGTTCAATTTATTTCCAAATGTTTCAATTTGTTGTGTAAATTTGTAAAATCGTTAATAATATTTAAGTCATGTGTATTAAAGGGATCAATAGAAAGGTACTCGGAAAAGCACAGTGAAAATTTTTTTGATGTACTTGACTATCAGAAAACAGAAAGATAACAAAAGCATGAGATATATCTGATTGTTACTGATATCAGATATTCAGCATACCTTTCAACTATAGTAGTAGAATATAATCCAGTAGCCTCCGAAAGCCAGCCCGATTAGTGTCTTGCTGTCGCCAGTTGATAGTACCGGGAGCCCCAAAGTGGTTAGTTCCATGGTCCTTCCACTGAATATGCGGAGGTCTTTTATCGTGTTTTCCAACTGCGGGTACTAAACTCCTTTCTAGCCGGAGCAGTTTCTTCCATTTGC